GGTATATGATCTCACATGTGCGATCAAGATTTTGGGAATTCATCATACTAAAACGAAATTCCATTTAAAAAAACCTTTCTCAACCTCTTTTTGCATGAATTTTATTACCATATATGTGAGAGAATTATCCTAATGTCAACCATCTTATGTCTTATGAAAAAAAGTTGCCAATTCTGTGAATTCAATAATGTCAATTTTGATCATAGCTCGGTCAGACGCTCATTGCTTACGATCATTTTTGGTTGCATGAAATGATGATATCAGTCATATGTGATTTGTTTAAATTTAATTTTTCTCTCGTACACGATCATTATACAGCTTGATGGTATTTTAATTTTTATGAACTGCCCTGCCGGGACTTTAATTTACGTGCGAAAAAAAAATGTCAAAAATTGCCTTGTCGGGACATCGAAACAGAAATGCATGAAAAAAAAAAAAAAAAAATCTTTTTTTTTTTTCTTTATTACATCATCATAATCACCATCTTTTTTTTTTTTTTTTTTATATATCTTTTTCCCCTTCAAGTTTTGAAACTTACTTGGCTGAGAAAAAAAGGGCGAGATCTTGTAAGAAACATGTTGGAAGTTTCGCGAGAGAAAGGACAACTATTGTGAATCGGGAAGTATTAAAAAAAAGGCACGCATGTCACTTACCTACCGGGCATGTGATTTATATAGAATGTACCTAAATTAGTTTAAATTAAATAGCTGAGTCGCAGTCGAGGAGGATTAGAGGTGATGTGAAATTCACTTCATTTTTTTTTGGAAGGAGAAGTTGCTGACAAAGCCCAAGGCATGAAGGAAAAGGATCAATTCAAGCGGAGATAAACATGACATTCAGAAACGTCTCTATTCTAAGATTTTGTGTATTGTTGTTTTGATGCGACACTATGCAATCTTAGTAATGGCTATCGCGAGTCTGAGATAAATGTCCTAAGGCGGGTCAGAATCTTAGCGTCATGATACCATAATTCTAGTACGTGCTGTGTATGTACGATGCATGTCATCATAGTGATCAAGAGGTTAGGTTTCGTAAAATTAGAGTTATTAATTATCCAATTAAAGTGTGGATTGGCATAGTGACGCACCAAGACTAAATTTAAACTACTACTTGGTTGGCGGCACAGGATAGGCTCCTTATTTTACTTTTTTGTGTGGTCTATGAAACACGAACGGTAATCATTCATTGTCGTAAGCCTTGTTTATTGTGGAAGGCCAGAAGGGCGAACCAACTATCGGTTCATTCTATTGTTCAATTCTCCATTGTTTGGGTATGCGTCTGAATTAATCGATGACAATGCGTAAAGAGATAATGATGTGCGTCAAGAAGGTAACATTGTGAAGTAACATTGCAGATAGCGATCATTCGAGTATCGAATTAGGGATTCATTGAAACCAAAACATTGTTTGATAAAAATCGTGCACGTCTTTCAAAGATCGTTGAGATCAGAATTCCGCTGGTGTCGACAAATTTTTGGCGTCCCTTCGGTGCTCCAAACAAATATGGTTATATTGTGGCATGAGACAAGGGAGATGTCGGCTTCAAATTAGGCCTGACCTCACGTGGTCTGACAAGACCTTGTTCTCGTTTTCCTTGTAAATAACTTCGACTGAACAGGGGAAAGTCATCCGTGTAGTCTCTTTTTAAAGGAACTCCCTTCTTCACTTGTATTCTTCATCGGAAACTCGGTCGCGATTGGCTGAATCTTATTATGCTAAATTCTCACGTCCCAACAAGGTTAAATTATATGATAAACGCAGAATGAGTCATTTGCCTTCGGCTTGGCAATGAGATAACCAACCACTAATGCGCACGCGGTCCTACACGTAGTCACCCAAGAGACCGTGTTTCAAGAAATAGGTTCTGGTGCTCGGAGGATTGTGTTCACGCGTGATGGTTCATTCTTTGATAGAAAGCTTGCATAAAACAAGCGCTGCTCCCGCCTATTGTTTACGATGCTCGGAAGATGAGTGGTGGCTTGTATTATGCTAAAATTGTGGCGCGATACTAACTATAGTTAGACTTGAATTGTGACAAGTCCTATTCAACGAAATTTAATAGTGGTACTACCGTTGTCCGTGTCTTTCAGGAAATACCCAATTGATGGAGTACACACATGCATTTGATTGCAATTGGCACCAACATAACGTGAATGTGAATGGTATGGTAGGTTTCGAACCCCTTTTGCGAGTTATGATCACTAAGGTGAAACAAGCGCACAGCTTTTTTTGCAATTTATTGCGACATAGATATCAATCGTATCAGACGCAATACAAGATTTCACGCGACACCGAAATTGTCCACGATCTCCACACCATTCCATCAGATGCTGGGTGTACTTGTTAAGTAGATGGCTTAAGAGTTTGCGTTGAACCGTCTGAGTCGCTGACAGAAATCGATAATGTAGTGAAGCCACCACCGTACGCGTTCTGCACATGAGAAATCTGTGCTGTGCCCGGAAGATGTGAATTTTGGCGACCAAGTCTCATGCGAATCGTTTGAATTGGAATAATTGTGGCATTTTCAAGGTTTTTTTTTTTTTTTAAAAAAAAAAAAAGAAATCTTTGAATAGTTCCCGTTTTCTCGAGATTCTTGTGACACACTCTCGTGAAAATTCAAACTACGGTATTAGGTGATTGATTGCTTCTTGTGACTTCATGATGCATGGATTTTTGACAAATGGGATTTTGCGGTGGCTTGTGAAGTTCCTGGCGGCAATGCGTGGATGCCATGAACATTCATCATCTGAGAGTTCTCGACGAAAAAACTCGTAAAAACGCGATTTGATCATGCCCTGAAGTGGCTGTTTCCAACAACATCAGGAGGCTAAGAAGATTTATTTATTATGAGATTGTGGCATTGAATCGCAAAAGTGCTAAGTCGGTCAATTCTTTTGGGGTCTCGGAAGTTATGATACAATTGCTTGTGACTTGCTCTTCATAGAAACCAGATTGCTTGGTTTTCATTGTGGCAATGTATAGGCGCTTGATTTCCGCCTAAG